TTGTTGTTTGGCAGGTCCGGGCTGGGGATTCAAACCCGCCACCTTAGGTGTACGTGGCTGGCGCCTTAGCCGGTTGAGCTATAGGCGCCGAGCCGGTAGTTTATGTCTTTCAGGGAATTCCCCATTTCATCTATATTGTTGAGTTTATGGGGATAGTATCTGTCTTAATCCGCCTGGACCGCTATAACAAAATACCATAGACTAAGTAGTTTAAATGACAGAAATGTGTTTCTCACAGTTCTAGAGGCTGGGAAGTCCAAAACCAAGGTGCTGAATGAATTAGTTTTGGGGGACGCTCTCTTCCTGGCTTCCAGATGGCTGCTTTCTCACTGTATCCTCACATGGTAGAGAGCGAGCTTTAATTTCTCTTCCTCTTCTTATTAGAGCACCAGCTTTGTGGGATCAGTGATCCATCTTTATGCCCTCATTTAACTCTATCACCTATAAGGGTAAAGCCTCTATTTCTAATATAGTCACATGAAAAGCTAAGGCTTCAAGGTGGCGCCTGTGGCTCAGTGAGTGCAGCACTGGCCCCATATACCGAGGGTGGCGGGTTTGAACCCTGCTCCAGACAAACCGCAACAAAAATTAGCCAGGCATTGTGTTGGGCACCTGTAGTCCCGACTACTCAGGAGACTGAGGCAAGAGAATCACCTAAGCCCCAAGAGCTGGAGGTTTCTGTGAGCTGTAACACCATAGCACTCTACTGAGGGCGACAAACTCTGTCTCTAAAAAAAAAAAAAAAAAAAAAGCTAAGACTTCAACATACGTTTTTTAGGGTACACAATTCAGTTCATAACAGTATTCTCTTATTTTTCCTTTAATGTTTGCAGGTTCTGTAGTGATGTATTCTCTTTCATTCCTGATATTGGCAATTTGTGTCTTTTATTTTTGATCACTATGACTAGAGGTTTATTAATTTTATTGATCTTTTCAAAGAACTGTTGAGTTTCATCAATCTTTTTTCATTTTTGTGCTTTGAAGTTTTATTGATTCCTCTTTATTATTTCCATCCTTTTGCTTGATTTGAGTTTATTTTCTCTTCTTTTAGTTATGTAAGTTGGAATAATATATTGCTTATTTTAGACCTTTAATTTGTTCTAATATAGCTTTTAATACTACTGGTTTCCATCAAGGTACTGGTTAGGTGCATCCTACAAAGTTTGATGTTTGTATTTTCATTTTAATTCAATTCCGAATTTTTTTAAATTTTCTTTGAGACTTCCTCTTTGACCTATGGTGATTTAGAAATGGATTTTGTTCCAACATTTGGGAATTTTCTAGGTTTTTTTTTAGTTTAATTCAATTATATCAGAGAACATAGTTTGTATGATTTCTTTTTTTTTTTTTTTTTGAGACAGAATCTCAAGATGTTACCCTGGTGGCATCATAGGTCACAGCAACCTCCAAATTGGGCTCAAGCAATCATCTTGCCTCATTTTTTCTATTTTTAGTAGAGACAGGGTCTTGCTTTTTTGCTCAGTCTTGAACTCATGAGCTCAAGCAATCCACCTGCCTCGGCCTCCCAGAGTGCTAGGATTATAGACATGAGCCACTGTGCCCAGTCTATGATTTCTATTTTTAGCAAAAATTTGTTAAGGATTGTTTTAAGTTCCAAAATATGGTCTATTTTGGTGAATGTGCCATATGCAAAGAGTGCCATACTATGCTGCTAGATCAGTGGTTCTCAACCTGTGGGTTGCAACCCCTTTGGACTGTATTAAAGGTTCGCGGCATTAGGAAGGTTGAGAACCACTGTGCTAGATAGAAGATCCTATAAATTTCCATTAATTCAAGTCTGTTGTTGTTTGGATATTCTGTATCCTTACTCATTTTGTTTACTTGTCCTCTTGGTTACTGAGACAGGAGTATTGATATCTTTCTCTCCTTTCAGTTTTACTTGTTTTTGTTTCACATATTTTGAAGCTCTGTTGCAGAGTACATATACATGGAGGATTTCTATGTCCTTCTGGGAAATTTACCCCTTTATTAATGTATCGTTTTCCCTGGTAACATTTCTTGTTCTGAAGTCTACTTTGTCTGATACTTAGATAGCTACTCCAACTTTGTTTGATTAGTGCTTGTATGGTTTATCTCTTCTGTTACTTTACCTACTTATGTCCTTCTACTCAAAGTAGGCTTCTTATATTTAAAGTGGATCCATATGGCCAGGCACAGTGGTCTGTGCCTGTAATCCTATCACTCTGGGAGGGCAAGGCGGCTGGATTGCTTGAGCTTACAAGTTTGAGACCAAGAGTAAGAGCAAGACCCCTTCTCTACTAAAAATAGAAAAACTGAGGCAAGAGGATCACTTGAGCCCAAGAATTGGAGGTTGCTGTGAGCTATCATGATGCCATGGCACTCTACCTGGTGCTACAGCTTGAGACTCTGTCTCAAAAAAAAAAAAAAAGACAATAGCTGAAAGTTGTTACTTTGTTATCACTAAGATCACCATAGTTATTAAAGTGGAAAATGAGTAAGATCAAAAAAAAAAAAAAAAGAAAGATAGAAAGAAAAGAAAGATAAGATAAAATAAGATGGATCCATGACAGATTTCTGATATTCTTATGGCACTTTCTACACAAGGTAGAAACTGTGTCAGCCTTTTCCCCAAGGCTTTTGTCCCACAGCCTGGGATGGGGTGGTTGTTGCCTACAGGTCTGCTTACAGGGCTCAGACAACCTCAATTACACAAAAAAGTCAAGATTCTATTACAAGAAGGGTGATGCCCTCCTGGATGGGGATAGGCAAGCTGCTTGGGGCCCATACCCTGTCCTGCTCTTCAGGCCTCTGCTCAGGTACACAAACTGTCCAGCAGTGAGGCAGCATAGTCAACTGGGCTTGGGGAATGGGTCAGTGACCAAAGGGGAATTCCAGCACTGGAGAGCTGAGTGTAGATTTTAGTACAAAAGGAAAAACCTGTTGGCTAAGGTCCATGGCCATCAAGGGCTCCAACTCCAAGGAGAAAAGAGAGAAGAGAAAGAAGACCCTTCAGAAACACCACAGAGCTGGGTAGTATGGGCACTTGTTAGGCCATAGGCACCAAGAGGAGGTTCCTCCCTGCAGGCCAGTGAAACCCCCTGAATGCTGGGTCCCTCATGAGGGCCTAAGGGTACCAGACCCTTGCCCCATGGGATTGAGCTTGGGCAGGTGGGTCTTGTCCCCGCTCTGTGACTTTGGGCCTTCACATGAGGCACTGGGGATATGGGAAGGTGCCAGGGACAGGGGTGGGAGTGGAGGGTCACACCAGGATCATGGGAAACAAGGAGGGGGGTGCCAGGGACCACATGAGGGGCACTGGGGATAACGGGACTCACTGAGGTTTGCTGAGGCTCATCCTTGATGCCCCCTGGTTTTCCAGGGCCCAGGACCATGATCCCGCCAGGCGAGTGCACATATGCAGGGAGGAAGAGGAGGAAGCCCCTCCAGAAACAGTAAAGTATCTCATCTTCTGTGTTCACTCATTATTGCCGATGAAGGGGAGGAGTTTGTGTTTTCAGTAAAAAAAAAAAAAAAAAAGGTGAGTTTCAAGAAAACAGTGAGAGAAAGGTATGGGAGCCACAGGCTTCTTCCAGAGGACCTCACCCTGGAAAAGGTCCCCACCAGTGGGAGTGGGGGGAGGAGGGACCCTGGGGAGCTGGCCCCACCCACCAAGGCCTTAGGAGGCACAGTTACAGGGTGGGCACATGCAGGCCACAGGCACAGCTGGGTGCCCTGCCAGCCTTATAGAAGCCCCAGAGGATCTGAGTGTATGTGTGTGTGTGTCTGTGTGTGTGTCAGGCTATGTGAGGCTGTGTGTGCATATGAGCTGTGTGACCATATGAAACTATGTGTGAGGCTGCTTGTATCTGAGGTTATGTTTGTGAGCCTGTGTGCATCTCTATGTGTGTCAGAAACTGTATGTTTGTGTGTGAGGCCATGTAAGTGCAAGGATGTGTATGTGAGAGGCTGTGAATGTGAAGCTGTGTGTATGTGAGGCTGTGAGTATAAGGCTGAGTGTGAGGCAGTGTGAATGTAGGCTGAGTCTGTGTGAGGCCGTGGGTATAAGGCTGAGTGTGAGGCAGTGTGAATGTGAGGCTGAGTCTGAGACTGTGTGAGTATGAGATTGTGTCTATGTGAGGCTGTGAGTATAAGGCTGAGTGTGAGGCAGTGTGAATGTGAGGCTGTGTGAGTGTGAGTCTGTGAGTATAAGCCTGAGTGTGAGGCAGTGTGAATGTGAGGCTGTGTGAGTGTGAGTGTGAGTATAAGGCTGAGTGTGAGGCAGTGTGAATGTGAGGCTGAGTCTGAGACTGTGTGAGTATGAGATTGTGTCTGTGTGAGGCTGTGAGTATAAGGCTGAGTGTGAGGCAGTGTGAATGTGAGGCTGTGTGAGTGTGAGTCTGTGAGTATAAGGCTGAGTTTGAGGCAGTGTGAATGTGAGGCTGTGTCTGTGTGAGGCTGTGTGTAAGGCTGTGTGTCAGTCTGTGAGGATAAGGCTGAGTGAGTGTGAGCCTGAGTGTGAGGCTGTAGAGGTTGCAGGGGTGCACTCTACTGTAGCAGTGTCCGTGTGTGGCCCATGTCTGGGACACAAACTACCCTCTTGGCCTATAGCTGTGGGAACCTGAGAGCCACACAGCCCCACCAGTGTGGGTGTGAGTGGGCTCGTCATGCTTGCAGAGCTGACTTCACATGCCATGCGGAGTGGGCTGCACCGCAGTGGCCTCTGTGTGCTGAGGGCCAGGGTATGGGGTCTTAGGGGGCAGCATCCGAAGGACCAGGAGGGGCCTGAGTCTTCCCTGACACAGTGGATGGGTGGGCAGTGGAACCGGTTTCCGAGTCTATACTCAGCAGAGGTTTGTCTTGGTGATGAACTTATCACATTAAATAAGAAAATAGCTTTTGCCTTATGGCTGCAAGCAGGGATCTCTGTGGTATGGCAATTGAGGGAGGAATCACAAGTAAATTTCCTGCTTTTAATATGTTTTTATGGCTCGGCACCTGTGGCTCAAGTGGCTAAGGTGCCAGCCACATACACCCAAGGTGGCGGGTTCGAATCCAGCCTGGGCCCGCCAAACAACAATGATGGCTGCAACCAAAAAATAGCAGTGTCCGTGTGTGGCCCATGTCTGGGACACAAACTACCCTCCTGGCCTATAGCTGTGGGAACCTGAGAGCCCAGGCTCGTTGTGGCAGGCGCCTGTGGTCCCAGCTACTTGGGAGGCTGAGGCAGGAGACTCGCTTGAGCCCAGGAGTTGGAGGTTGCTGTGAGCTGTGTGCCATGGCACTCTACTCAGGGTGACAGCTTGAGGCTCTGTCTCAAAAAAATATATATTTGTTTTTATTCCAATTCAGAGGCCTGAGGTAATGAGTTTTTGAGGCATTTACATTTTATTTACTGATGTTTTGAGCTGGTAGTGTTTTCCTCTAGTTCAAAAGTTAGAGAAATTCTCCTTAGCTTGGTTCCCTGCCTGAAGGCATCTTGTGAATCCCTCATGGGATATTTTATGAGTAAACAAGCAAATATGCTTGTGCAGTCTGTACATTTCCTCTCCTTCTGTCCTTAGAGATTGTTCCCCATTAGTTCACCCATTTTAAGCTACACAGTGTGTGGATATGTTGAATTGTTTTGCCAGCCCTCTGTTAGTGCCTGCTTCAGTTGTCTCAGGGTTGTGGCAGGTCTCAGCCATGCATTGTCCTGCACAGGTACAGGGTGTTGGGAAAGGCAGCCCTCTGGGTGCTTAACATGACAGCACATCGGTGTTGGGGTACCAAGGTGTTTCAGCTGGCCGTCTCTTAGGGTTGTATTGGCAGCAAGTACCTTAAAGGATAAGGTACCGCCTCCCATGGAGGCAGAGCAGTGATATTTTCATTTTTGAGACACAGTCTCACTTTGTTGCTCTTGGTAAGTGGTATCATAGTTCATAGCACCCTCAAACCCTTGGGCTCAAGCAATTCTTTTGCCTCAGCCTTCCAAGTAACTGGGACTTCAGGTGCCGGCCACAATGCCTGGCTATTTTTAGAGATGAGGTCTCTCTCTGGCTCAGGCTGGACTCTAACCTGTGAGCTCAGGCAATCCACCTGCCTCTGCCTCCCAGACTGCTAGGATTATAGGTGTGAGACACTGAGTGCCGTATCCCCTGATATTGTCTATAAAAGGGGTGGTTCCCTAAACTCAGTGTCCTCAACGACACATGCAGCAGCCTGACCCTTCTGGGCCACTCTAAGGGACTTGAGGACACAGCATAAATGACAAACACGCTGATTCTCACATGGCGTGCTATGAGTAGTGAGAACTTTGTCTGCAACTCGAGGTTTCAAGTCTCCTTAAATTCTGGACCCAATACTCATATTGGGGCTAAGAACCTACAAGTAATGTTCAGTTAGAGGCTGTGGGCATTTGCAGTTGTATAGTTGTTGTCAAACTCCTGGCATTACCTGCTGTACTTGCTGAGGGCTGTCATCAGTGCCTGTTCCCTGTGTCTTGGTGTGCGTGTAGTGTTTTCTAGGCTTTGGCCATTTTAATTTGCATTCTCTTGTCATAAGTGAGATTTAAGAGCTATTCCTTTTCTGTGAATGGTCTGTGTTTATATCTTTTACTCATTTTTCTGTTAGATTATTTTTGTGCTTTTTGATTTGTAGGATCTTGTATACTGGGAAAATTAATTCTTGAGTGGGTTTGAGATATTTTACTCCAGTTTTGATTTTACTTATGCTATTCTTTACCTTGTAGTAAAATATTGAATGTTTATGAGGTTGAATTTATCAATATTTACCTTTGTGGCTAATTCATTCTACATCATAATTAGTAAAATCTTCCTTGGTCCAAGTTTATAAGAGAATATTCCCATTATTTCTTCTAATATACCCTTTTAATCTTTAAAATACATATGTTAGCTCAGCGCCCGTAGCACAGCGGTTACAGCTCCAGCCACATTCACCAAGGTTGGCAGGTTCGAAACAAAAAATAGCCAGGTGTTGTGGTAGGTGCCTGTAGTCCCAGCTACTTGGGAGACTGAGGCAAGAGAATGGCTAAGCCCAACAGTTTGAGGTTGCTATGAGCTATGATGCCACAGCATTCTACCCAGGGTGACACAGTGAGACACTGCCTCAAAAAAAAAAAAAAAAAGAATAAAATACATATGTTTAAATTTAAAACTTTTGAGCACTAAGAGAAAAAAGAAAAAAAGTTGAAAATAGAAAAGAAAAATAAAACAATTGTGATTGACAGTAGAGTTACTTGAATAGTCACTAAACATTTTCAGGCACACACACACACACACACACACACACACACCCCTCTACTGCATTCGCTTGTCTGGGCAGTGCATGCAGACACATCATGACCCTGCAAGGAGGTCATAAGGCTGCCCCTCAATCTCCACCGGAGGGCTGCTGGGTATGTGTGTGTGGGGTGGTACAGTAAACGCCCTAGGGACATGTTCTGGGGAAAGTGGATGTTGAGTACAAGGACACTTGTCCTGCAGTCCCCCTTAGGAAGTGAGATTTGCTGGTTCTGGCTGTCCCAGCTGTGGCTCCCACCATACCCAAGGGCTGTGTGGAGTTCTGGTCTGGTCCTCATCTGTGAGTGATGATAAAGGTTGTGGAGGGTAGACTGAGTATATAGTCAGAGGTGGAATTGGTCTAGACTCATGAGTGTTGGCTCCTGGGCTAGAACCTTCTCCTGAGAGGCCCCCAAGGGCCTGGGTGCAGAGGGCAGCTGGGCTGCTGACTGGGGACATCTTCCTCTTGGCACTGCCCTTAAAACCTTCCTCCCCCTAGCCCAGCCCTGGTATCATTTGAGTTCTATGGGTAATTCTAAACCCACAGCATTCTCCCAGGAATGAATGCCTTGTGCCACCATCTGCATGTTTGATGCCTGAAATCTTGTTCATTGAAGTTTCCAGAGTCCTCACTGAGACAGTGCCTTCAGCTCATACAGTGTGGGAATCAAGAGGTTCCCTTTGTTTTCTGCATTTGTATCTTTAGTGGAGTTTAACTGAAGTACACACATTTCAATGGGACTGTACTATTTAAATTGTATGATCTGTCGATTTTGACTTTGTATGTATCCGTGAAACTATCACCAAAATCAAGAGTATAGACATTTCCATCACTCCACAAGTTTCCTGATGCCCCTAGGTAATTCTTCATTTTTCCCTCCACCTGCATCCCCAGGCAGCTCTGTCTGCTTCCACTAGCTGTAGATGATGTGCATTTCCTGCCATTTTGTGTAAATGGAATAATACAGTATTTTGATGGGCTACTTTCAATTGGAACAATAATTCTGGGATTAATTCATGTTTGTATCAACAGTTTATTCCTTTTTATTGCTGAGTAGTATTCTGTTCTGTGGATGTGCCAAATTTCTTTATTCCCCTGCAGATGAAAATTTAGGTTGCTCCCAGTTTGGGGCTATTACAAATAAAGCTGCCTTAAATATTTTTGTAAAAGTCTCTATGGGTGTATGTCTTAATTTAATTAAATGTGCAATTGCTAGGCCATATAGAAGGTATATGTTTAAGTTTTTAAGAAACTACTCAACTGTTTTCCAAAGCAGTCCTATCATTTTACATTCCTAGCAACATTTTACATTCTGGATACAAATCATTATGAACATTTTATTTTAGTCTATGATTTGCCTTTTAAATTTTCTTAATACTGACTTTCAAAAGATTTTTTTAAAAGGTTTTGATGAAGATGCATTTTTCAAATTTTTATTCATCTATGTTGTTAGAGTTCCTGAGACCCTAAAGTCTCAAAAATTTTAAACAAGTTTTCTTGTAAAGTTTTATAATAATTTTACATTTAGGTCTAATAATCCATTTTGAGTTCACTTTTTGGTATTGTGTGAAGTTTGAATTGATATTCATTTGTTTTTGTGAATATATAGTTGTTCCAGCACCATCTTTTGAAAACAATTTCCTTTCCCTATTATATTGCCTTTGTATCATTTTGAAATAACTTGTCAAATAAATAGATCCAATGAAAAATAAGCAAGTTTATTTCTAGACTCTATTATGTCCTATTCATTTTGTGTTTTCTTTAATAACCAAATCATCTTTTTTTTTTTTTTTTCAGTTTTTTTTGCCAGGGCTGGGTTTGAACCCACCACCTCCAGTATATGGGGCTAGTGCCCTACCCCTTGAGCCACAGGCACTGCCCTATAACCAAATCATCTTTAATATTGGAGATTTAGAGAAGGCTTAAAATCAATCGGATAAGTCCTCTAACTTTGTTCTTCTAATTGGCTATTCTGGGTCCTTTGGATTTCCATTTAAATTTTAGAATCAGATTGTCAATTTATATAAAAATTTGTTGGAATTTTAATTGAGATTACATTGAATCTATAGATCAGTTTGGGGAAGAATTGCCATCTTAATAATATTGAATCTTCCAACCCAAGAACATGGTATATCCTTCTATTTATTTAGGTCTTTTAAAATTTTTCTCAGTAAATATTTTACATTTGTTTATGTTTAGATATCTTGGGTGTCTTTTGTGAGATTTATTTTATATTTTTGTGCCTCATAGCTTTCTTTTTAAATCCCCTTCCACCTGAGCTGGCTTGTCTCCTCCCCCATTCTGTTTCTTGCTACTAGGGTGCGGGTTGAATTCTCCTTGACCCCATTACCTCCTGCCATGGAGTAGAGCTTCTTCCCTTAGCCTCCTCTTAGGTTCCTGGACTTCAGCCCATGCCATCTCAGAGGAGTGTTTCCTGTCCACATGTCTTCTCAACCCCTAGCTACCCACCCTTCTCCATCTACTTGTGTGGAGTCTTCACTCTGGTTCATGCACTTGGGCTTGGGGAGTAGGTATTGCAGCACAGCAGCAAGAGGCAGGCAGTGTTCTGAGGTGTGAAGGGATAAAGCCATGTTTGCTGAGCTGAGCTCTTAGGACACTTGCTACTTCACCAGGCAATGGCCCCTTCCTCTGGGCAGCTTGGGGGTAGGAGGGGCTCAGCCTATTTGCAGGGCATGACTTCTCTCTGAGCTCTAGACAGATGTGTGCACTGCATAAGACCATGAGGGTGTATGTCTGTGAGGAATGGGTGGGAGAAGTGGGCCCCGCTGGAGGCAAGGACAGGTGTGACCTCCAAAGACAAAACCTGTCTTACTCTTTTTTCTGTTACTAATGGAATACCAGAAACTGGGTAGTTTATAAAGTAAATTAGTTTATTTCTTGCAGTTATGGAGGCTGAGGAATCCACGGTTGGGTGCACATCTGATGATGGCCTTCTTGCCGGTGGGGACTCTGTGCAGAGTTTCAGGATAGCACAAGCTCAGATGGTGAGAGAGCTGAGTGCTAATGTGCCCCCTCAGGGTCTTTCTTCCTATTCTTACAGAGCCACCAGCTCCCCACCCATGATAGCCTGTTAATCATTAACACATGAATGGATTAATACATTCAGGGGCCAGAGGCCTCATGACCAATCACCACTTAAAGAGCCTGCCTCTCAACACCCCATGTTGGGAATGAAGTTTCAACATGGATTTTAGAAGGGACTGATATTCAAACCATAGTAAAGCCCCATGTGGACCTGCCATGCAGAATGGAGTGAGCCACTGCCTGCCTGCCAGTGGACCTTTCCCAGGTGCCTGTACGTGTCTGCTGTTTCATGTCTGTTGTCTACCCTCCTCTTTGCTGCCCTCTTCACTACCATTGACCACCTTGCCCATCCATCTCCCTGGTGTGTCTCCTCCTTTCTGACCTCCCCAATTGCCATCTGCTCATCAGGTATTCCCCTTGTTTTCTGGGGAGGCCTCTCCTTTGTCCTGGGAATGCCAGTGAACACTATAGCTGGTTGAGTTTATCCGTAGGTTGTCCTGCCTATTTAAATTTTGATGGGCAGCTTGAGTAGGTGAGAGGGACAGGTAAAGGCGACAGCTGCTCAGAGGTGGGAGGGACAGATAAAAGGCCTGTGTCAGGCAGACTAGGGGACATGAGAGAAAAGCCCTTGTAGGACACTTATCTTTTGTGGGTATAGCAGATCTGCTGTGGGTTAAGAGGAGGATCGAGTGACACTCTCCTGCCCATTTGTGGGGTGCATCCATGTCTTGGGTCCTATGAGTGGTGGGTATCCAGTCTCTGGTGCTTGGAGGTGCTTCGGTGTCCTTACCTTGGCCCTTGGCCCTTGGCCCTACCACATAGAGGACAAACTAAAACTCAAAGGGGCCTGGGAGCTGCAGGGCTGGAGGCTGTATTTGACGTGCTCAGGTGGGGAGTGCAGGAGTTATAGCTTTTCACTAGTGATGCCAGGAGGAACTTTTCATTTTTCCTGGAATATGTTAGGTTTTGTTTAGATACTGAGGAGACTCTGATGGCTGCTGAATGAATGTGATATTTTCCACACACACTCTTTTGCCCAGACATCCTGGGGCTAGGTGTCCTCCTTCCATCTCGGGGAATGATAGCACAGACAGGTCAAGTAGTATGCCAGCATCACACATCACACAGCAGGGGTGCCATGCCCTTCATCTTTGCAAGGAGCCATTGTTCTCTGCTAGTTTGTTCTTTATTTCTCTGTGCATTCCTTCCAAATGCTGAGCTATCATTTCCTAGTGTACACTTTGGTGTTTTCATATGTACATCTTCAGAAATGGTGAGTTTTAGCTTTATCCAAGTGTCTCTGCAGCAGCTGGAATGCTCCTAGTAAGATCACTTCAGAGAACAGTTGACCACCTCATGCTGCCAGTGGCTTTTGGTGGATAAACCCATCTGACTGAGGCCATTTCCCACAGGAGGCCCATCCGGGGGGCTGAGAAGTCGAACCCTTCCAAGCGGCACCGGGACCGCCTGAATGCTGAGTTGGACCACCTGGCCAGTCTGCTGCCGTTTCCCCCCGACATCATCTCTAAGCTGGATAAGCTTTCCGTCCTGCGTCTCAGTGTCAGTTACCTCAGGGTGAAGAGCTTCTTCCAAGGTAGGGTTCTTACCTGTGTCTACCTGTGTCCTCCTGATTCTCACCTGGGTCTCACCTGGGCCCAACTGTGATTGAGGAGGTGGGTCTGGTGGTTTGATGTGTGCCAGCAGGGCTGTGGGTTTTCTGTGTTGTCAGGTCAGGCAGCCTAGCTGTTCCCCCAACTCTCAGATCAGAGTGTTCCACCCACTTCCTGGGCCAACACTGGTGGGAGGGTGGGGCCAGCCCTGCCCCTGCTGGGCCTCATTGGGGTTCCCCTAGCCCAGGGGCTCCAGGGAATGAGGTTTTGGCTTTGTGGAGATGAAGGACCAGTAGTGGTCAGGAGGCTGAAGCAGCTAAGCAGGTGTGATCCCATGGCCTGTGCTGCCCTGGGATGCCTGGTGCACTGACCCTTGCAGCAGCACTGGTCGCCAGAATGCCCATAGGCCAGGCAGGTTCCTCCCCTAGAGGCAGCTGCTATTGCCTGTTCCTTCCTCCTGCACCTGGGGTGGGGCCTGCTGGGGTCACATCTCCCTAGAGATAGAGAGGTTTTCTGTCCCCTTCCTCAGCACACAGCCCAGGTGTTTTGTTCTGGGGGGGAATGGGAGGGTCCAAGTGTTCACTCCCAGGCCTGCATCTAGCCTGTCTCCTCCCCATTTTTTCTGTGACCTTCTCAGAAGGCCCATGGAGAAGGAGATCCCCTGTCTGTGTCCACTAGGGGTTTCATATTCAGAATTTGATCTGAATTCTCTTCACCAGTGTCCACAGAGTCTTGTTCATGTCCTGTCTATCATCACAAGTGCTATATTTTCTTCAATTTCTGGTTATTGGATGCCCTGGGACCTTAAATTCCAGGAGACCTGTAGACTCATAGACTGTGAGGTCTTTATCCTTGGAAGGTGGGAGTAACGTCGCTTTCAGCTTCTGCATTCTATGTAGGAGCTGAAGGTGATGTGACCTGAAATGATTTGAATTATACTGCTTTTAAAATGAAAAATCTAGTCACTTGCTGGAATGTACCTCTGGCAGTTGGGTAGGATGACTGTTCTAGGTCAGCCACGTGGGGTGCAGCAGGGCTGGGGTGCCACCTCCCATGTCTGACTGAGGTGGGGAGAACCTGGCATCCCTTTAGGGATAGGGTTCTGCCCTGGCGTGTGTGTCCTGTGGGAGGATCTCCCACAGACCTGTTCCCTAGGTCCTGACCAGCCTCTGCCACCCACTGAAATTTAATACAACAAAATGTTAACAATCATCTTTATCTCTGACTGGTGAGGTTTCAGCAAGGTGTAGTTTTGCTTTTCGGGTCTTCTAATTTTATACTAAAAAAGTATTAACTTTATACCTTTATCTGCAGACCCAAGCACAGGGGCTTCTTGCCCACAGCACCCTAATGGTCACTCTTAGCTCTGGCAGTGCTGAGCTTAGCTTAGTCAGAGGACTACACCGTTAGCATGTGTTCAGGGTGCTTGTGCATTTCCTAGAGGATTAAGATATGATGAAGAAGCAGAGTTCCATCCTGAACTTTCCACACATGGGGTGCTAGGACAGGCTGGGGACAAAGTCCTTGAGATTTGCTTTCTGTGAAGTTCATGTGGGCTCAGTGGACCCCCCTCCACAGTTACTGTTTCATGCCCCAAGGACAGGAAGGAGGCACTCTCAACCTCCTGTATGGACACTGTGGGCCAAGTTTGGGGCTATACAGTGGGCGAGGGCTTTGTCCAGAGCTAAAGATATGGTTATTTTCCCTTCTTCTTGCTGACGCTCCCATGAAGTCCCGACTTCTACCTGGGAGGTTGGGAGGGAGGCTGGAGTCAATTCCTCTCTGGACAAGTCCATTTGTGCGTAGCCAGGCCTAGGCTTGGCAGTCTTGGAAAGGCTTCAATTCTGAAATTTCCAGCAAGTGCAGATGACTGTCTAAGTGTTCACCCAAATGCACAGATCTTCTTAATGTAACGATCTGCAGTGAGTGCATTGTGGGATTAGCTGCTGACATAGGCAGGCTGCCCTGGGTATCTGTTACACTTGCTGTATGTGTGAATTCTCACAGTTGGGTTGCAGATAAAATGAATCATAGTGGTCCACAGGCTTTATGAGAGCAGTGGGTAAAATGATAAACTTGATTTTTCTATCACTTGTTTTCTACCAAAGATTCTGAGATTTGTAATCCCCTTCAAGCTGTACATTTCAGAGAACATTTTCAAAACTTTCCTGAATTCATTTCCACTGTGTAGTTGGGGAAAAATCAAGATATAAAAATTAGAACTTAATCTGTATCTCTTGACTCAGAAATGGATGGACTAATTTCATTAAAATTTCCATTAAAAGTCACCTCTAGGAAAGACATAAACTGGAATGTTTCAACCTCAAAGAGTGAGGATGGCCTGAAAATTTGCTTATGATGTTTACTTTGGTATTATATTATTATTTAAAAATTTTTTTTTGTAGAGACAGAGTCTCACTTTATCGCCCCCGGTAGAGTGCTGTGGTGTCACACAGCTCACAGCAACCTCCAACTCCTGGGCTTAGGCGATTCTCTTGCCTCAGCCTCCTGAGTAGCTAGCTGAGACTACAGGCACCTACCACAACGCCTAGCTATTTTTTTGTTGCAGTTCAGCCAGGACCGTGTTTGAACCAGCCACCCTCGGTATATGGGGTCGGTGCCCTACCCACTGAGCCACAGGCACCACCCGACTTTAGTATTATTGACTTGCATGGATTTTTAGAAGGCAGTGGAGTTCATTTCATTTTTATTTATTTGGGGACTGGCACTTGTAAGTTACAAAACCCTGGCTTCTGTGGGTTCCCGTTAGGTTGGGATTTTCCACTCTTGTCAATTTCTCTCTTCACAAAAGGGGAAATTCCAGGTTAAAGGAAGGGAAGCTGAGACAGTCCCCCAGAGAGCCTGGGGGCAGAACCAGGCCTGGAGCTGCATCCGGGTCAGAGCCAAGTTCCAGTTCCAGTTCCAGTTTCAGGACCCCCAACTCCAGGAGGGTACAAGAAGCCCCGGCCAGTTACTGAAGCCCAACCAGTGATCAGGTCAAGGCCCATGGAAAAGCATCTGGGAGCAGGGTCCTGGGGCTCAGGGTACTGATGGTAAAGGGCCCTCAGGTCTCCCAGCTCTGGCACATGGACTGTGTTCACCCACTGACCCATTGGGACAGGAGAGTTGATATAGTTCCTGCCACTGTCGAGAGGGGTGTAGAGGGCAGTGCCATGCCAGCAAACCAGAGAGAAAAGGCATTCCAGCCCTGACTCGGCACAGACCTGGTGTCTCAGGGTGCAGGGCTGCCCTCCTTCTCCTTCTCCTATTACCCCACGGTGGGGTCAGGCAGGTCATTCTTTGGTTCTCTGTGTTCAACCTCTGGTACCTGGACTCTCTTCTGTGGAGGGGCAGATCTGCTCTCCCCACATAGGTAGGGTCGGCCCAGAAGTCCCATGGCTCCAGGGGCTGCAGAATCTTGAATTCAGATGCCAGGCTTGGTGGCATACGAAATGATTTTGTAAACCCAGGACTGAAGCACATGCAATTATTAAGCCACATTTTACTGCTGTTCATCTTTCACTATGATTTACCCTTTTCCTGATGATCCATATTACAGACTGAATGTTTATGTCTCCCCAAAATTCACGTTGTTGAAACCCCAATCCTTAGTGTAGTTGTATTTGCAAGTGGGGCCGCTAAAGAAGTAATTATGGTTAAATAAGATCATAAGGGTGGGGCCCTGATCTGATAGGATTAGAGTCCTCAAAAGAGACTTAAGGGCTCTGGCTCTCTCTGAGCACTCACCAGAGAACATCCAGGTGAGGACTCCATGGAGACAGAATGCTCCCAGAACTTAATTCAGTCACCACCTTGATTATGGGCTTTTAGCCTCCAGAACTGTGAGAAAATAAATTCCTATTTAAGTCCTCTAGCATGTAGTATTTTATTATAAGCCGTGCAAGTAGATTGAGATTTGAGATTTCAGTACTGAGAAGTGGGGTGCTGCTGTAACACATGCCTAGGAATGTGGATGTGGCTTTGGAGCTGAGTGATGGGTGGAGGCTGGAGGGCTTTGACGTGTATGTGGAAAAAACCAAGACTAGCAGGAATTGGTGGAAATACGGACATTGAAGGCAATTCTGCTAAGGTCTCAGAGAAGAGGAGGGTTGCAGAGAAAGTTTTTGCCATCCCAGACAGAGGAATTGTATGTCATCTCGAGCAGAGCAATGGTAGAATATCCACCACCATATCTTCTGTGGTGAGGACTTGGGACGTAAGTGAAGAGTATGGTACTGGGAGCTAGAGGGAGGGGCTTCCTGTTACCAAGTGGCAAGGAACTTGGCTGAGCCTCGTTGCACTTTTGTGAACACAGAGTTTGTGAGAGATACAATTGGATACTCAGATGAGATTTCTAAGCAAAGTATAGAAGCTGCGCCCTCATGTCTTCTTACTGCTTGTAGAAAACGTGAGAGGAGAGAGATTCCAGTAAATTGAAGGAACTGTTCAGAGAAAAGGAACCGGAACTCAAAGATTTGGAAAATTCTCTGGCTATCCATATTGCAAAAAAAAGCATGTCCTGGAGAAACCACCATGGATGTGGCTGAACACACATGTGATAAAGAGACCAGTAGATGTGAACTGGTGGACTTAATGAGCCACTTCACAGAAGCTAGCATAGAGGTGGGATTATTGCAGCCAAGCCAGCACCAGTTTGGATTAAAGGGAATGGCGTGGATGACAGAGCCATTCAGCTGCCAGGAAGGGGTAAAACAGCCCTGGTGACTTAGAGGCCAGGACGGCCTCTCCTGCCACAGGCCCAGGGCAAGTTGCTTCTCGTTGGCTCTGGGAGGTGGGTGCTGCAGAGCTGTGGGCAGACACCGAGCAGAGGGGATTGTCCAGAGCCTTTAGGAGCTTGTGGACTGTACTTACAAGATGATTTCCCCAGGTTATGCCTGGTACCTCTAGCCCAGTGTTTTTCAACCTTTTGTATCTCATGGCATGCTTGAACCCTGTTTGGAACTTACCACCCCTTTTTTATTTC